CAAGAGAGTGAAAAAAGTCGATTTTTTTAGCGGGTTCTACGCCATCTTGTTTCACTGGAAAACGAGCGAAAAGTAAACAAAGCAAAGAAAACAGCGAAAACCAAAATTAGTCCAAATTATTGTCAGCCACCTTAAATGCACAATTTAAGTAAAATGATGCAACAAAATGCTTTAAAATGTGTTGTCATGTTGAATTAACTCTTCTTTACTTGAATAAAAGTGTAAAATAGTGGTGCTTGTGATGTAAACAAACGCTCAGCTGACGAACCCGCTTTCGCAAACTTTTTTCTCAAAACTAGTTACAAATACAACGTCGCGTTCTTACGTGATCTTGTATTTTTGGTTCTTGGGTGCTTGTGATGTAAACAAACGCTCAGCTGACGAACCCGCTTTCGGAAACTTTTTTCTCAAAACCAGTTACAAATACAACGTCGCGTTCTTACGTAATCTTGTATTTTTGGTTCATGCCAGCTGGTGTCAACCCACTTAATGATGCCACCTGTTTCTTATATGTTATGTGTATAAAACACGCATCAGTGGAACAAACGACACATTTGTTCAGACAATTTAAGTCCTGAAATCTTAAAAAATCTGAAACTGGTTCACATTTACAAATTTAAGATAATAAGATATTTGTTTAATGCATTTTTGTTTGCCCTTTTATTAGCTACCAACAATCCACAAAAGCGAACGCATTTAGCGTAATTTCCAATTCGTTCATAGGGCAACGCTGTGTCCCATTGCGAGCAAATATTTACTAAAAACGCAGAAGTGAAAAGTAACAAAGCCTTGTGAAAATTTAGTTTATTTATTAAGCAATAGAATTACAAGGATGTCGTGGTTTAATGTGTGGACGGGCATCAAAACTAAAACATGCAGATATCTTTTACAACGCTATTTGGGCCAGTTTTTGGAAGAAAGACTTAACCTGGAGCAGTTGAAGGTGGACCTCTATAATGGCAAAGCCACAGTGAAAAATGTTTCTTTAAATATAGATGCATTAAATAAGCTATTTGAAAGCCATGGATGGTCTGTGGAAGTTATAAGCGGCCATATTGGACTTCTAACTGTGACTGTGCCTTGGAACGCTTTAATGTCAAACAGCAGCTACATTGAGATTTCAGACGCTGTTATTTCAGTAAGGCCAGTACAACGACAAAATAATGGAACGTCTATGTTGGAATCAATGTGGTCGTCAGCTAGCAGTTCTATGCAGTTGGCGGAAGAATGCATGATGCAGAACGACGATGAAAATGAAGAAAATTCAGAAGCAAACAACAAGTCAATTCCTGGCCTTGAAAAGTTCGCTGAAACCATAGACAATATATTGAATCGCATTAAAGCTTCGTTTACAAATACTGTTTTGCGTTTGGAATATCAATCGTCAGATAGTTCCAAAACGATATCACTATGCTTCGAAATTAACAAGTTGATGTACGAAAATGAGACTGGCTGCGAAAGGCATCCTAAGGAATCTTATATGGAAGGACGTCGAAACGATAATCCAAACTGCCGATTGCCAACGTCCAGTAACGTAGATGAGCAACAGGGAAATATATACTTGCTGCCAATGTTCGCTAAACACAACATAAGCATAAGTGGCTTGCGTTTGTGTACAGAAGAGCAGAAGACAAGTGCCGGAGCCTCGCGCTACATCAGTGTAGATATATCGAAAACTGGTGATATTCCCATACTCGAAATTAATGAACACTTAAATATACGAATCAAAATGAAACAGTCGGAGAATATTAACGGACCAAAAGTTGTTATTAACACCGAAATGGGTTCAGTTTACACTTTGATCACCCCCAGGCAAATACACCTTATTCTTAAACTAATGGACGCATTCCAGGACGACAGTTGTGACATTCAAGCAGAAGAAAATCTTGAAGTAATTGCCTTTAACGACTACAAAATGTATCATAAAAGAGACGAGCTGGTGGAACTTGGAAATTGGATTGATTGTGAAGCTACGCCAACTAATAGAGACACATTACATCATTTACGGTTTGATCGAATAAAAGTTTTACCTAAAGGATATTCTCCTCCTAGTAGTTCAGTTAGCTCCAGTAGCACTGTAACTGGCTTGTCGAAGCTTCAACGAAAAACATCAAGTTTAGAATATTCAGGAGAAATTTTAAATTTTTCCCTTAAAATATGCTCATTTGTTTCTATAATACTAATAGAAGACATTTTGGTTGAGAGTTCCACCAACAACCAAAGTCCCTTAAATAAAACCAGCGAGCAAAATATGACGCGCTTTGCCAACACATTTTTTGAAAACTTAAGACGAGTTGTAGATAAAAACATGGACTCAAGTAAGTTAACAGATGGAAAAAATCACTTATTTATACGAGTATTCCCAATAATTTCCGAGGGAAGCCAACATAGGATCAAACATATGCTGCTATCTAAATTTAATATAATTGCGCAAAAGTTGGATTTATTTGAAGTCTTAAATGGAAAGTCCTCTGAGTTAATAACTTTCGATCGAGCTGATGGATTCAATGGTGCTGATGTTTCTATAAGCATAAAATCAGATATCAGTTCCAAGATAATCGATATAGCGCTGCAAAAATGTGAGTTAGAAGTTGATATTTCTATATATGATCGACTCAGTGCAATTTTGGGACCTTCGCCATTTGCTACGTTTTCTTCATACAATACGCGCTGCTACTACTCGAAGCAGGAGACGCAAAAATTAACACTCACTACAAATTTAACGTCGACATCGTTGGAAGTGAAGGTACGATTTCCAATATTTGATGCTAGGCCGATTCACGATCCAAATCGCGTACCATGGTGGCAACAAAACGTTCGTCGTGACTTTTTATTAATTTCATTTAATTATGTGAGTATAAAAATTGTATCTGGGGTGTGCGAACTACTTTCAAACGAGCTTAACGTCTATTACGTTGAAGACAACTTAGAAGATAAAGTCTGGGTTTTAAAAACTAGCTCCAGCTCAGACCAAGCAAATGCGTTGGATTACGTTAAAATTACTGTCACAATCCCTGACGAACATTATTGGACTAAGTTGAAAAAGAGTTGTTTGGATAAACGAATGTACGGCAACAGTTCAAGAGCACATTCAGATAGACTACCATTTAGTGCAAAACGCGTATGCAGAGAAAGCGATACGTTGCACAATAAACGAGACAATACGGAGTCAGAAACTATTTTGCTTCCCGGCGAAACTGAAGAATTGAAAGAATTCTGCAGCGCCACAATGCGAACGTCAAAAATTCAAGTTCAAATAAATGTTCCCAATGTTGAAATTGTACTAGGATCAAAAAAATTTTATGAAGTCATATACAATCGCTTCAATTGCGATCTCTTCATGTGGGAGCCAAGTTCACCCATTTTAAATGCTCTCCACGTAGATAGTACAGAAAATAAACAGAGCATATACAATATTTCAGTTACACCAGCGGCCAGATTAAGAAACATTAATGATTCCTATTTGTCTGATTTTGAGGAAAGCGACTCAAACGGAAGTCACAAAATTAACCTTAAAAATATCTCAATGGCGGAGAGCATATATTTCTCAATACATGATCCTATTAAATCACAAGAGTTGGAACATGAAGAACCTGATTTTCAAAAAAGCAAATGTTCTGTAGAAATTTTTATACAAAAAGGATCCGTTGGACTATTTCTACCTATACGTAATAAAGAAAATCTTATTATACCTGAGGATGTGGGTAAAATTGACATTAAGGTGAATGAGCTTAAAATATTTTCTGTTAGTGGATATAACGAAAATAGAAATTTGTGCTATTTATGCCTCGAAGTAGGCGATGTTAAAATGGATCATTGCGGTCTAATACATGAAATGTATACTAAGCTTTTTGCATGTGGCTCTACCGAATCTGATCGATATATGCGAAAGACCATTTATAAAACTCCCGAGGGCTTGTCAAAGTCAAATCAACCAATAATGAACGAAAGACAGATGATGTCCTTGGTGATAGAAACAAAACGTGTGACTGATCAGAGGATAAAACGATTGAGGGTTACTACCAGCATTCAACAGGCAACCCTACGATATAATTCAATGTTATCCAACCAATTTTGGTTGCACCAACTTATTGACTTTCTTGATGTTGTCGATTATCCTATAGAAGGTTACGCGCCATACGGTATAATCACGGAAATGCAATTGCATCTGTGGAACTGTGCAATCGACTACAGACCATCAAATTTTGACTACAGAGCTCTTTTGGAATTAGGTGCTTTTACGATTAGCAGCAATGTTATATCTTCGGTGAATGGATGCAATCTGAGGTTTATAATTGAAGAATTTATTCTCTCCATAGCACCTTGCAAGGAATCAACCAAACATGAAAAAATACTAATTGAATCGAGGTATTTAGTACCAGTACTTGATATAGGACTGTTCGACATATCGTTAAGGTTAAATGAAAACTCGTCAGGAAAGCATCCTAAATTTGATCTGAGATGTTCGGTGAACGATGCACATTTAAGAACTTGCAGCGATTCTGGAAAAGCCCTGGCACAACTCATTGAACACTTGGCTATGGATGGAGACTCTCTTGAAACTGATCAAAATGAGACAGGTGGAACTTCCCAGAAATCCGAAAATTATGAAATTGAATCCAGTTTTCTAGATGAACCAAATCAATCTCAACAAGAGTGGCAACAAGAAAGGGTAAATTTAATGATGGCAGAGGCGCTCCAAGAAACTGTCACAATAAGCGTTTCGCCCTCAACATCGAAGAACCCTGGTTTTACTGATCACGGCATTGAACCATACTATTTTCCAGATGAAGAACAGACTAACCCATCAGACCTCGAATACGATGAAGGTAATGAAATTTCCGAAATTCTTAACTTTGAACATCATGTCATGTCGACATCATATTCAGCAGCCGAACCTAGTACAGATGTGCTGCCGCAGGTGAAATCTGATTTGGGCGATGTAAACCTGGAACCAAGACACAACGTGTATCCGCGCAGGCCCCAAGAGGACGAATATTGTGTTATTTCTGAAAATGAGAGACAGCTGGTGTCGCAATGTGGAGTTCGCGACGTAAAAGTTTGCGAAGATCCGCTGCGAATTGTAGACAATCATTTTTGTTTGCCTTCTAACAAGATCGATTTGCTCAAATCTCCATATGATTTTCCTATCCCTGTTTCCCGTTATACGCTTTGCGAAATGACTTTCACTTGGCATTTGTACGGCGGCAACGATTTCATATCAATCCCAGAGAATATGAGCGCAACAAGTGAAGCCAGTCACTTGCGTATGTCTGATGCTTATAAACACGGCGTCTCATATTCAAAAGCAGATAATAGCGTTCATGGTGCAAATAAACCGAAAGATCTATCATGGAAAACAATTGGCGGGGTACAGCGAAATCATGGGGTCATCGTCGAAATTCAGCTTACAAAAGTTCGCTTATCATATGAAATATATCCAAACTACACAGCCCAAGCTTCGCGTCAAGTTTTAGTTATAAACGATATTGAAATAAGGGATCGCTTGCAGTCGTCCGAAATAAATAAATTTCTATATCATCCCAGCACAAGGACTACATCGCATAAAAGTCCGCAACAAATGGTGGTTATAAAAGCTCTACATGTTCGACCAAATCCAAAGCTCAGTGCAGCAGAAGAGTGTTCACTTCGGATATCGTTGCTGCCGATGCGGCTCCATATCGATCAGGACACATTAATTTTTTTGGCAGACTATTTCACTAATATGGGAAATAACATGAAAGAGGCACATGCTACGGACAATCCGCCTCCAGAAGCGCATGCCCCTGTTATGGATGTTGGGCCATCTGAATTAGAGAACGAACTACAAGCAAGAAAACTAATATCGACGAATCTGGAATTACTCGAAAATGAGGTAATGAATAAATCGCTGGCACAAATGGAAGCAAAAGAAAAACATTCGCCAATTTACTTTCGCGAGGTATTATTTAGTCCAGACGTGCCAATACGTTTCGATTACCACGGACATCGCGTTGAGTTGTCACGCGGCCCAATTGCAGGGCTGTTGATGGGTTTGGGCCAGTTACAATGCTCCGAAATCCGGTTAAAAAAAATTATTCACCGTCGTGGATTCCTAGGCATTGAAAAGTTAGTAACATATCTATGCAAGGAGTGGTTGAAGGATATTAAAAGGAATCAATTACCAAAAATTTTGAAGGGTGTTGGGCCAACTTATTCATTTGTGCAATTTATACAAGGTGTAATTGATCTATTTCGCCTACCGATTGAGCAATATCAAAGGGATGGTCGCATAATCCGAGGACTTCAGCTCGGCGCACAAAGTTTTACAGCCAGAACTGCTCTCGCTGCGCTCGAAATAACATCACGTATCATTCAACTTTTACAGTTCACAGCTGAGACAGCCTTTGATATGGTGTCTTCTGGGCCTTCCGTTGGAAGAGTGCGCAAGCATCGTAAGGATAAAAAGAAACGAGCGCAACGACCAAAAGACGTACGAGAAGGAGTGACAAATGCGTACCTGATAGTGAAGGAGGGGATAAATGATTCCGCTGCCAATCTCATAGAAACAGCTGTAGCAGAGCACGATCAAAATGGTTATACGGGAGCTGTAGGAGCTGTAATGAGACAAATACCGCAGCTGGTAGTTTGCCCAGCAGTTTTGGCCACTCAGGCTACAACCAACATCTTGGGAGGAGTTAAAAGCTCTCTTGTACCTGAAGCTAAAGTTGAAGCTCGTGAAAAGTGGAAAACGGACAATGATTAAATTTTCTCTTTCATATGTATTTATACATAACTATGTAATTGATTAGATAAGTATGGTGCATTCTAATAAATAGATTTTATACGTTTGAATGAAAATACAACGATTAAAGTGTCCAATGATTATTTAGATTTGCATTAGTTTTTTTTTTTTTGAACTAAAAATGGTTATCCTTGTTAATTAAATATACATTTCGTCGAAATAACTTTTTTTTTGTATTATCCCAGTAGAACTTGGGAGCATCGTACGATTGCTCGGTGAGTACTCCCTTGGGAGTATACGAATACTCCCCATTGCTCCCTATGCTTCTGTGTATAAGCATGTAATTTTGTATACTCCCTTTAACATTGGATGTCCTAGGAGGGGGAGTAATCCCTTTTACCTCCTAAACAAGCAATCAGGGAGCACACACAGAATTATCATCCCACAAACCTCCTAATGGAGCAATACGGGAGTACTCCCTTAGTTACCTCCCAGAAACCTCCCAAAAAGACAACAAGGGAGTGCACATAGAAAACATCCCACATTCCTCCCTAACGAGTAGTAAGGGAGTACTCCCATAAGAGTCATCCCGGAAGGCTCCTGTACGAGTAATAAAAGAACGCCTCTATACTCCCGAATTCCTCCTCATGGAGTAATGGAAGACTACTCCCACATTGCTCCATAACGAGCATTTTACATAAGCTAAAAAGATTTTGCTTTTTACGCAATTCATTTATTTAATTTTTTAATCATATACATATATACATACTTATGCACATAAATACAAGATTTAAGCTGATTATTACAAAAACAGAAAAAAACATAAATAATTATTATTACAATATTAACTAAAATTAGAAAACGGATATCGAACAGTAATGACAAACTCAAACATTATACATACATACATATATACTATTACACAATCCACAAGATAAGTGTGGCGAGGATGATTTCCTGGAAAAGTTATTTAACTTGTATTCACCCGGGAGTGGACCAAACGATTCACGTCTTGAAAAATTTCCGGCTGTACCCAGTAAATTTTCTGGGCGGGGCAAGATTGCAACGCTAGAACTTAGACGCCTTAATTGCTGGCCCCGTAATCTGAAATATATTTTGAGTTAAATAATACAATCATTTATAAGTTTAAACAAATGCTATCATACATACCAGCGGCTCGAAAGATTTGCTCTCCAATTAATTTGATTGTTTCCTGATTTAAATTTTTCAATTAGAAATACATATGTATGTAAGTATGAATGTACACATCAGTTATCTGTTTTGCTTTCTTCATACATTTTCCAAAAACACAAAATTATGTTGAAGAAGGTGCGTATAGCTCTCCTATCAATTAAAAAGAATACTCCTGGATTGCTCGCTTAGGAGACATCGATTTTTGCTCCTAAGCGAGTAATAACGGAGTACAAAACCAACAAATCTCGCTTATTGCTCCCAAATCATGCCTCAGGGAGCATTCTTTAATTGCTAGCTTAGGAGATGTCCCTATTGACTCCTAAACGAGTAATAAGGGAGTAAAAAGTCCACAAATCTCTCTTATTGATCCGAAATCAGGTCAAGGGGAGTACTCTTTTATTCCTCACTTAGGGAGATCTCCATTCAAGTTCTAGTGGGATGGCAAATGTCGCAGACTCAGTATGAGCGTGTGTGAATCGGTAACAAAGTTCGCGGCAAGTAAATTTTTGACAAGTTTGAGGTGAATAAAATTTCAGTAGCCCATAGGGCTAGTGAAATTTTTGACAAATGCATAGAAAATTTTGACAATTGCAAAGATTGCTGCTGTGTGTAATTTTTCGTAAAATAAAAGCTTAAGTTGATGAACTGCAATCAATGATGGTAGATGTTTTCTTAAAATATTAATTTCACTAAATTTGTAATAGTTTATTGCGCATAAATCTGCGGTTATGAAAAATTTACTGCTGTCAAAAAAGATTTCATTTCACACAGCAGATTGGCAAAACTGTCTCACCATAGTACAAATATTATTCAACAGCTTTCCCCATAGAACTTTGCTACCGATTCACACACGCCCAAGGCGCATCAATTACAGGTGATAGCGAAAGAAGCTATGCTTCTTCTTATGGGCACGCTTGTGTCAAATTATCGTCTGTTTTGCTTTATTTACATCTCCGCGTATACATACACATATACGTCTATATATACCCTGCAAACAAATGCTCCCGAAATCTTTAAAAGTGTCGGAAATTTGCTACGATTCTTTTAGAAATCTTTAAAGAAAAACATATGAAGTGGTTGACAAGAACTAGTAAAGAAATTTCTGTACGATTTCTTAAAGTAAATTATAAAAAAAATTGTGAAACCTTTCAGAATTCTATGAAATCCTGGTATGCAGGGTATACATGTACATACGAATATTAATAGATAAAGAAGATGTTGATGACACAAGGAGTTCATACCAACGGTAAATGTTGTTTTTGTACGATTGCTACAACCTGTAGTTGTTGAATCATGCACACGCCCTATATCCAGTAAAAAAAACTGTGGTGAAGTCCTTTATGGGGATAAAGTTTCCAGAGGTGAAATTTTAGGTAGCACACAATTTCTTACACGCATGGTTGCTTTTCAGCACTCATGAAAGAAACTTAAGAAATATTTGAAAAAAAAGTTCATATAGTACATTAATTTTGAAAGAAATACCATATAATGTATGTACTCTGGTTAATAATATCAAAAAATGTATTAGAACCACCGTTTAATGTTATATTTGATACAAATTAATATTGCTGCCCCGAACGCTCTGCGCCTTGCCACTGAATAATAGATTTACTTAAAATTACATCCCTGGTCCTTGTTCTTTCTGTATCGCATCGTGGTGAATTCATATTTCTACGAAATTTTACAACAAAACAAAACAAAGCAAGTATTTTATTTGCTAATTTTTGCGATTTCTATTGTTTAATGTAAATTTGTCTTTTTAGGATATGTCGAGCCAACAAAGAAGGCGCAGTTTGGAAAATTTAGTAATTAGTAATGAAGTAGCTGGCATATTTGGAAAATTATGCCGATAAACAGGATGGAATTTGGGAAAGTAAGTGCATGGTTGCAGCATATCTATGTATAAAAGTATTTAATTAAATTGTTTATAGAAATGTTATAAATCGAGTGGCTCATTTACGATGTGCTCCAAACATTTGGCGAACTTTTTTTCGCCTTTTCAACGTGCTAAGTAACAAGTTAAGATGACTGCCATCATGGGCCGGTAAGAAACCGCAAGCAAAGGGCAGACAACCTTCCAGGAAGCTGCCTCCTGTCCCCGAGCCGAAGCTGCAGTTCAGCAAGAGCAGGTCAGCAAATTGCTACCCTGATCAAACGTAAACTAAAGCGCTCTGCTGTGATTGCACTCCGTAAATGTGAAAACTTGGTGCATGCTGAGAAATATCAAACAAGAAAACTCGGTGATGGACGCCGTGAGATGGAGTAACGCTGTGTGGCAAAGAAATGCGGCCAATTCGACGGGCCTGAAAAATCCAAATTGGCTTTTGTGATCCGCATCCGCGGTATCAACAAAGTTGCACAACAAGTCCGTAGTTTTACAGTTCTGTCTTCGCCACATTAAAACGGTGTGTTCATCAAATTGAGCAAGGCAACCATTAATATGCTACGTATGCCGAACCCCTATATGGGGTTATCCAAATCTTAAATCAGTTTGTGAATTGATGTACAAACGTGGAATGGTCAAGCGTGTCCCAATCTCTGCTTTGTGATCGAACGCAAATTTCGCGAAGCGCGTTGATTCACTTCACTTCAAGAAAGCCCCCAACTTCCTGTTGCTATTCAAGCTCAACACATCAACCCGAGGCTGGCGCAAGAAGGCTTATCACTACGTTGAGGTTGGTGATTTCGGTAGCCGTGAGGATAAGATCAACAAATTGCTGCACAAGATGGCTTAAAGAAATTGTTGTCTTGTATTTAAGGCGACAATATAATTTGGCACATCTTCAAAAGACGCTCAAGCAAAAAAAAAAAGAAAATTAAAAAATTCCTGAAGTTGCCTTTTCACGGGTCGATTTCTGTGGACTGGAAAATTTACTTAAGATATCGACTAGCCAAAACGCTTACATTTTACGGTTGAATTGCAATTTACACGGGTAGATTTTGGTTAAACGATAAAAATCGACCGTGTAAAGGCAGCTTAAATAACGTTCAAATTAATCACCCCCTTTGAGATGGAAAATACCAATAACCATTTCATAATTTCGAAAATTATTCCATTTATATTTGTTCTTGCATTTTCCACACCACTTGTGAGGTATGCTTTTACGCGCGTTACCGATTTTTTGTAATGTGCTCGGTTGCCCAGGAGGCCTATTTTCACCTTTACAACTTAACTTAAACAATTAAAACTAAAGCATGCAATATATAAAGAAAATTAAAAGTTGTCTTACATCTAGTAAACTTAAAAAATTGCACATTAAATTCATTTTTCATTATAAAATAAAATTAAATATCACAATTCAGTTTACAAAATGTGGTCTGTTTGCACCCACAGTAAGTTCCCACGAAGCCTAGCCTAAATTCAGAATTGAAAAAAAACGAGCAAATGGGGTCGGAAACTACTAGCCCTAAAAGCACAATGTGGAAAATGTTTGAAGAGCTGCGAAATTGTATTGCAATAATAAAAATAACAGTGCATAAATTGGAAAAAATGGTTTTTGTTTTGCTTTATAATTTTTGGGAATATTGGTTCAGATGGAATTTTTTTATTTGTTTGGTTTTTCAGCTCGTTAATGATGCACCCAGGGTTGCATTTACTGTCTATGAAAATATTTCGTGAAGCGTTCCAAAATTAGCTCCGAGGTACTAAAAGTTGGTTAAGCTTAAATGAAATAGTTTTTTATTAAATATTTATTCCTGGTATTTAGTAAAAAACATCAATACTAATGTATGAAAAACAAAACATCAATGCTAATGTATGAAATGAAGTAAATAAAAAATCTACGAATACATTCCATGAATATTTTGTCATAGAGCCATTATTAAATTTAGACATAACTTTGTCAGGCGTTGGTACCTACGTATATAGAATTAATGCGTTGGAGAGAGATAAATATACAAGTTCAACGCGCTAATTTAGGCATCCTT